TTACCCCCAAAAAAAAAAAAAAAAAAAAAAAAAAAAAATGCAATTTATCACAATAAATTTAATGTGTGAAAAGATATCCTATTTGAAAATGGAAAATTCTTTTATGAAACAATGAAGTTTTACTCTTACCTGATGTCCACCACTTGTGTCCATTGATCACATATGAATCTCCATCTCTTCTAATGGAGGATTCAATATTAGTTGCATCAGATGATGCAACCTAAACCATGAGAAAAACATTTATATAACAAATTCTAATCATGTATCAACTGAAGCCAGATCATTTTAAAGGAATAATAACTGTTTGCTTTGGCCAAAAAATGAATTTTCCTGGAGTAAACAACAATTTTCCCATACTTACCAATGGTTAACGAATCTGTTTCTACATTCAAAGTTAGTCCCTGTTTTTTTTTTTCTAAAAAGTTTGGTTTTATGTTATAATCTCTTAAGAGATTATTACAGAGTATATCCATCTATGGAGGTCACATTAAGTTAATTATGAAAATTAATCTACAATGATCAAAACTACTATGATCTTAATATCTTGTACCTCCATATCAATCAGACCTTATATAATATTTTGACAATATGATACTAAAGTTAAGATCTTGTGTCAGTTTCAAGTACTTTGTACCACTTAAAAAAGTATCTGCACCTCATTTCTTACTTTGTGGCATTTGAAGTCTAATGAAGGACACAACGGCATGAAGAATCTTTGAGAAGAATCTAATCTATTTTTACTTTTGTAACACAAAAAAGACTTATCCACCAATCAACTTCAAATTTATCAATGAATATTATATAAGACTTCTTGCCAACCAAACATTACCTGTGGTTCAGTCATGGCAAAGCAAGACCTAATTGTTCCCTCCAGCAATGGAGTCAACCATTTCTGCTTTTGTTCCTCTGTTCCGTAACGTATTAAAACTTCCATATTACCAGTGTCAGGGGCACTGCAGTTGAATATCTGTGAGGTAAAGAATGTGATTGTGGAGACCAGTTTATTTGTAAGCAAGGGTAGCCTTATGTAAAAAGAGACTAAGATCATCTATTTTTTCCAAGAAGAAAAAAGAAGAAAAAAATTTAAAGACAAAAATAAATAAATATATAAAAGAAATAAAATAACTCACAATTTTATGATCCTAACCATAAAAATCATCCAGATGATATTACGATAACTGTAAAGGTAGTGTAACATATCATTCACAACTAAGGGTATAGGACACATATTATAATACCTCTGGGGCAAACACACACTTCCCCATCTCCTCACATATCATAGCATACTCCAGATTGGTCAGACCAGCCCCATAGTGACAGTCTTGGTCAGATTCAATTGGAATGAACAAATTCCATAAACCTTCAGCCTTGGCTTTGGCCTGTTAAAAGAAAAAAAAAAGTGACAGCATATACTGTTTAAAATTTTTCATGCCAGCATTACAAAGGGTCATGATGTTTTGGTAATATATTTGGTATATTTGATGAAATAATTTATCATATTAAACATTTATAGCAAAGCAGAAAACAACTGAATTTAGAAAAAAATTCAATGGCTTATCATTTCTCACATTTTATCATCCTTATTGCCCATACCTTAAGTTCCTCTGTTTTAGGATGAATGGTCCACCTGTTATCAGCAAATGAATGCTGTGTAAACTCTCCTTCTAATGGCAAAATGTGCTCTTTAATAAACTGTTTCACTCTTTGATGGTAGTTTTGGGCCTTGAAAGACAGTGCAGACACTGTCACTGGCATGGGTGCTGGAATAAAAACAAAATAGTAGGAAAATAATTATGTACTGGGAGAAATAAATAATTACAAAAGTTGACTCACACTGGCATGATCTAATATCATCCAATCTACTCATAAGTTACTAACTAAGCTAAATTAATTTTTGGTCAAAACACATTTTGCCTGTTATACTTCTAAAATGAAAATTGAAAACACTGGTGAAAATTCTAAATGTAAGTGTGAATTCTGCACTATTCAACATCCATTAGTCTACAGTATTTTAATATATTGTGTAAAGTGTAACTCAACTTTGTGAAGATAATATTAATATTGCTAATTACATTTACCTATTTCTTTTCCAGGCATTGTTGATGTGGGCTGTGTTGAATAGTGCTGCCTCCCTCTACTTGTGTTATCAGTGCTTGCCGTGTTGTTACTATTTGATGCTATTCCCCAGCCTACATTAGCTGTCAATTCTGCTAGGGAACCAATGGCTTCTGCATCTGGAGCTGCTCCCTGTCCTGAAAAAAAAAGCACATCCAAATGTGATGTTGGAGTCACTTCTTATTAAGTAAAGAAAAGCCAATCTTGCATCCTAAATCCTACATATATGTATGCCTGCCCAGATAAGGAGGGGGGGCTTTAAAATTTACTTGGCAAAAAAAGCTTTGGAGACCATATTTTGTGTTAATTTACCCCCTGTGGTATAAACAGTAACTGCTAACACACACAAATATATACACTAATGGAATTTCTTATAGGTTTATACATTATATGAGTGCATTTTATGGTATGCCACTTCTCAAGTGGCATCACCTGACAACAACATTAAAGTAAATGAGACTTAAATAAGGAGAATCATATTGAAGCGAGTAAACATTTCAGAAGTCTTGAATATAGTTCCTTATAGATTCCAATCTTTTCAAATCATAAATAACAATGAGTGTAATAATTACCCACAACCTTTGTCCAAAGGTGTTTCTTAATTGTCAAATTATAGTGTCCTGAACATAAAAGTTTTACACCTCTTAACCTTCGAAGGCTGTGCATGGCCAAAGTCCATCCAAGTTATTAACTAGTGCCAACAAATAATCAAGTCAGTGTTAGTCAATATTTGGGACTAAGATAAGCACAGATAAGCACCAATGGTAAGGTCAAACATTTTCTGTAGAGAACATATGCATTTCCTAATGAATAAATGTGCATATATTATAGGTGGAAGTAAACATGCCTTAGAAAATAATTTTGAGTTTTTTTCACCCCCAAACCAGATTATTTACTTCATTGAAAAACCATTTAAAGAGTTTTTTGGTTGTTTTTCCCTGTCACTTGACAATTCATCAAACACAATGCACTTAACACTGTACAATTACTGATCTGATAAGGCTGCCAGATCCAAAACTGAACAGATTTAGAACCCAGTGAGCAAACCAGAAGAGGAAAAAAACTGCCCATCAATATCAGGCTAAAGTGTAATTAACAACATGTTTCCCTCTGCATCACTAAAATCCTGCACTTGACTTACCATATTCATCTTTACCACATGTCAATAACTGTTTACACTATGACATACACAGTATCTTAGTCAAATCCCAATAGCTTAAAATTTTTACATCATAAACATTTAGAATACTTTCCATACAGGTGCAACTACCTGAAATTGCTCTCTTATATACTCCTTGTAAAATAGCAGCCCCTCTGAAGCACTGAAATGCCACATAAAAGTTCCAGTTGGCAATGGGTGGGATGTTCAAGTTCCTGCAATATGTATCTAAATATTCCTGTTCTGAGGGAAGCCCTAGTTGCTGGATATTTTTGTTGGCAAACCCTAAAAATAAACAAAGATGAAGGCATAACTGAATGGTTAATATCGAATTAACTATAAATAAGACATTAAGGTTAATAATGTGAACAATGAAATCAACTAAGATAAAACCTATTATCATCAAAAACACTTGCAATTTACTGAATATATTCTATTCAGTAATCATAATCATCATCAAAATTCCTGGCAGAAAAGTACTCAAAACTGCATGTAATTTTATTCCTTTGTCATTCTTGAAGGTTCTTTATCTATGAAAAATACCTCACACTTGTAGCATGTAGACTAGAAAGCTATGCAATTACAGCATTACTGTGAAAAACATACTGGTAAAGGAGAGTAATGTAGGTAAATACACCTGGTCTTTTAAAATAGGGATTTCATACAAACCTGTAAGTGGTCCTGGGATCTCTGGCATGTGATATGCCAAACAGTTGGTAGCCAGGTCAGTCAGAGGATCTCCTAAAGTGGACAGTTCCCAGTCTAACACAGCCACCACCTCAGGTCTAGTAGGGTGGTAGATCAGGTTGTCTAATCTTCAATAGATGAAATATATTTTGCTTTGTAATTATTTTACAGGCAAAGATAAAATAAAAAAGTCTTAATGGTTTCAAATTCTCAATTTGAAAATATTACATATTTTGATTCAGAATTTACTTGTACTATCAGCTTCTTCGAATGACAGCAAAAAAGGTAGTATTTGATTACTTCCTAAACCAAAACCATAAGCAATCATGTATCAATTTTTTTCAAGTATCTCATAGAAAAAAACGTGTAGTAAAAATAAAGGGTATCTCTGCAGTTATAATACTTTTAAAACGACAATCTAGCATAATGTCATATTTACCTAAAATCCCCATGAACTACAGTGCACCTCTCATGAGCAGGGAGATGATCCTGAAGCCATTTTGACAACTTGTCCATTACAGGCATGTCCTTTGTCTTGCTGGCTTCATACTGTCTGATCCACCTTGTAAGATTTCTCTGAACATAATTGCCTAAAACAGTGATCAACAGTTTAATTTATATGCATGAACATCGGGTGTAAGAAAAAAAACTCTTTTTGAAGACACAGGTAATCAAATGCAGAGAAACTGCAATCCTTTCAAGTGTTGTCACTGTTTTTCAACATAACAACTGCATTTGACAATTGTCATTTGACAAAATATTTCAAAATTAACTTTTACCATGTTTTCCATAATCCTCCAAATAAGCCTTAGCTATATCCACAGCATGTATCTTACAAAGGGTTTCATTCATTGCAGCATAGATTTGCTTCCTCTCCTCAAAATGCATTTCTGGGAGGAGAGGATTCTTGAATATTCTTCCTGGGACATGCTCCATTATGTAGAAGGGTGTTCCCAATAAACTAAAATTAGATTGCCAAATCTAAGATGCAACTATGTCTGATATCTACACGTACTAGTACAAAATAGGCTGGTAGTTTTGTCAACCCTTAACCTCTATCTCTCTCTCTCTCTCTCTCTCTCTCTCCCGCTCTCTCTGTCAAATATTTAAAATCTTTTCCACAAAGTAATCGTTTATGTTCTTCAGTATAATGACAAATTTGGAAACATTTTGAAAACAAGTGCCATTATGTATATTCAACAAAAGAAAGAACAAAAAAGGTGTTTTTATACATATTAAAATATGTCTTAATGATTGTACATTTATTAATAATAGCTAATGCATGCTTACCTGTCTTCCTCACAGAGTGCTAACATTTTAGGAACAGGTACTCCCTGGGTGCCCACTGCTTTCATGACTCGGTACTCTCTTTCCACAGCATGAGCGGAGGGCAAAAGTTTCCCTGGCTGGAAAAATTCAGAATTTGGTGAAAAACAACATTCTTTATTTCAATATGCATCTCAACCTCTATCCCTTTTCTATCTCAACAGATTTACTACTTTATAGTATGTAATGTGGCCACCTACAAATTAAACAGATAACTTATTACAATATTAAAAATCACTGTGATTAGCACAATAAAACAAACAGCATGTGTAAGATAGATATTTATAAATCTAATATTATGACAAGCAAAGCTGAACTTAGTTATGACAAACAACCATTACATGTACCAGAGCTGTTGCCAGATATATTGCGGCAATGCTAAGCATAACATAAATACAGTACATGGCTTATAAGGATATATAAGACTTCTTTTCTTTACTTACTGGTTTCTTTCTTAAAACCAAATTTTTTCCACCATAAGAAATGAAGTAAGTAGGATTTGACTGACCGTGGGCAAAACATCTGACAGCAGGTGGATCTGAAACAGCAACATTCATGGTTTGACTAATATATACTATAAAGAAGAATACATTTCTGATATCAATATTGCTGTATATATAACAAACTATGCCATTTATATTGCTGTAGGCTAATGTTTTATCAAGAAACCACTGGCCCACTTCTCCCAGGTCAGTGACCATTCCAGACAGGCAAGTAAAATCTGAACTTAACTTGTCCAAATGACTAGCATCTGACTGTAAAATAAATGATTCTGAGCCAAGCTAATATCCTTAGAGATCTATTAACATGCTTGTCCAGTGCAAAAGAAAACATTTTGTAACACTATATATGCTATCTTCATAGCATATCTCTCACATTAACACTGTACTGAACCTACAGCATTATTAAACACATACTAAACTTGCCTTTTGAGTGAATCTTTAATACCCAGTTCATGTATCTTGTAAGTTTCATAACAGGTAACTGTAGATTTTCTGGAACAGCTATTGTGCCAGGGTAAAAACCTCTTACACCAAACCCAACTTCTGACTCCAACTTCCTTATTGACTGATCAACCTCACCTACATCAACCTAGAAGAATGGCACAGAGCCTTTTACCAGGATTGAAAAGAGATACAGACATTTCCTCTGTTGCTGTCCCTCATTGGGGCTTTTTTGTTTCATCACTCCCATATCAAGTAATAATCAATTTTGCACTAGAGCAATCCTCAAAACCCTGTTCCCATTTTTATAGGAAACCACAAAAAATGTATTTCCAATATAGCAGATGCATCTGACAAAGGAAATGGCAATCTATCCCTTTCCACTCACATGGCAACAATCACATTTTGAACATTTATTTCACATAGTACTTGCCTTGGGAATGAAGATCCAAAGCCTCATTGAGGTATTTTGTTAATTTGTCAATTGGAAGCTCCAGCCTCTTTGGTACTAAAGTTGTTCCGGGATAAAAACCCCTCAATGAAAAACCCAGGTAAGTCTCCAATTGTTTCAAACTCTGTAAAGGCTCAGTCTGTGAGACCTCCAAAACAAATCAAAGAACAATGTCAAGCAACAGCCTGTATATATCACCACAAACACTACGGGTATATTGCTTGCTTTGCATGCTATGCACCAGTTGTTTAGCCATTAATAATTACATGAATTGCAATGTATTTAAGGCATTGTCAACAAAATTTATCATTTTCATCAAAATTTAGAAAGATACCATTTAGAAATCACGCACTGAAACTGAAGCACACTGTGGATGCAAAAAATAAAGCATATATATATATATCAGACAATTTTATTGAATTTCATAAATTACAATGTTAAAGGATATTATTACTAAACAAATCAATAATCACTATGAAATAACTATGAACTCATAAACAGTTAAAGCTAACATAAAAACTGATGATTGCTAATATAATTTACTTATAAACATCAGCTGAATAATCCACACTTTACACCTTACCCTTATTTAGTAAATTTTTGAGAATGTCAAAAAATAATTTAAACAATAAATTAAATCAAAAGAAGATTCCATTAGAAAATTCCTTTTCACAGTAAAACATAAAGATCACCTTTATTGTCCTCATTCCCATTTCTTTTGCTGGTTTCAGGTTCCTTCCAATGTCATCAAGAAATATCACTTCCTCTGGATGAACATTCAGGGCTTCTAGGCACATCTGGTATATCTTAGGGTTTGGTTTCTTGATTTTCACGATACATGATTCCAATATCTAAAACATTTAAAAAATGATGTATCCTTTACTCGATAACAGTGTTATAACTGTTCAGTCATGCATTATGTTCTTATCAAAATTATTTGAATTTTTAATGTTTCTTGGAAAACATAAGCCATTCAATTACAAAGATAAATTAGCCATTTAACCAAAAGTCTCATTCCTTAAAATATTTTTTAAAGCTACGCACTACATCAAAAAGTTTTCTGTCCAAAGGCATTGCAGACTGTGTAGGAGTAATAAGCCAGTTGTTGGTGATAAGGGCTGTCTTAATCCCTTCTGCTCGAATACACTGTATGGCATCAAGCATCTCTGGATATGGTCTCGCAGTCATATCTGTCAGTCCATAAAATAAGGTGGAAGCATCAATCTTTTTCCCAACCTATGTTCATAAAAGAAAAAATATTGAGGAGAATACATGAACAGTAGATATGTGGATACACAGAGATCTTTTTCAGAGTCTCTGCAGAGAGCTTAAATGTGTAAACAACAAATACATTTACAGTCTAAGTAAATGAACATTTTATTGAAATGGAGCAATGGAGATACTTTACAGTGTATATGAACTAAATATTGTAACATAGATGCTGCATTACAATTATTTAGATGCTGAGAGATATTATGTGGACAGTGGCAATATATGCTTTACTCGTCTTTAGGGGTGCTGGTAATAGCAGTACCTTCTCTCTTCATGCATATCAAATATAATACACTGACCCCCTCTCATGCTACGTATATGCCTTTAACAGCTTGAGCATTAGGAAGAGATGTTCTTGCATATATCGCTTGGGTAACTAACATGGCATTTATGGGTGACAGTGTATTATCTAACACATAATCCCAAACTGACTTCAATATGTTTTGAAAAATAAAAAGTTTGCAGAAATATTGCAGCAATATTGTTGCAAACTGAAAGATTGCAGCAACTAGTTTGGAGGATGTTGCAAAAAATAATTTACTGTTGGTAACTTGCAGCCATATTGCAGCAAAAAATTGCTGCAGATTTGCAAGAAAAAATTGCAGTTTGCAGAAATATTGCAGCAGGCCTGACATTTTGCTATGGAAAATCTCACACTTACGTGACAACTTCACTTATTCATTAAAAACAAACAAAACAACAGTTGATAAATGGAGAAACCCAAGTAAATCCTATACCTTGTCAGATAAACCTCTGTTGAACTCCTCAACATACTCCTTGAATGTCATCTCTCCTCGATCCAGTTTGGCCCAGCCACCTTGTTCTCCAAGACTAACTATGAACTCATTAACACTGTTTTTAGGAAGGTTGAGTGCAGCTTCAAAATCTAAAGAAAAATTTGACATTGCATGCTTATGATGTGTAACATGTAATTAAATTATGTTTAAAAAAAAACTAAACAAATAAATCAAATCAAAAGCAGGCTGGAAAAAAAGCCATATGAAATACATTTTATCTTTCCTTGACACCTTTTAAACTTTTTGGAAAGAAAAAATTAGTTTTCCATAGAATTATAATTAAACTTAATTTTGTCATGTAGCATAAAAGCCTGTTGCTTGACAATGTTATTTGGTTTTGGGGTCTCACAGACTGAACCCTTACAGAGTTTGAAACAACATTTACATGTAAAATCTGGATACTAATACATAAAATTACATTACATTATATAACGTACTGGATATTAAAAATAGGTAAATGGTATATACACCAGTACAAACCATTGAAAGCCTGGAATGGAGATGGTAAAAGCACCCCTCCCATATCAAATATGACTGCTTTGGTAGGTGTAGTAGTAGAGCCATATCTCCTGGATCCTCTACCCTCACTGCACACTGATGTCGCTACAGCAGGGGAATGCTTCAATACATGACCAGAAAGGCTCTTCAATCTCATCTGGGCCAAACGCATCATTTCATTGTTTTCTACAAACTGAACGAAAAACATGATTTAATTTTTTAAAAAAGAATCTGAAGTACTACTCTGTATGATACAATGCATCCTCTGTACAAACATAATGTATTTTGACTGTATATGAAATGTAATATTTGTGGTGTGAAAGATCACAAAGTGCAACCATTTAAAGACTGCCATACTGGTAACACTTTTGTATTCACAATGAAACTATATGGTATATATTACAAGTATATAACAGGGACTCTTGCTTTAGAAATGCAATGGTCAGATTAAAAGATTAACACGCCTAGTTCCTCCTGGTGTTGAGTAGAATACAGAAAAGCTGGAGATTATACAAGTATGTTGGAAACAAGAGGAGGCGGGTTAATGTGTTAATCTGATTGCAATCAGCCAGAGTCCCCGTGGAGTTCAAACTTCAGCTGTCGACAGTATGTAACATCGAAACAACAACTCTAGAAGTCGCCCGAGAGATAAGTCATAATGAAAGAAACAAAATAACTCAGACGTAGAAATTATGCATTTCTGGGGGTGGGACACAATTACAACTCACCGTAAGGTCACTAACAAAGTACACCCTGCTGCGTACAACAACACATGTTACTAGGTCAAGTTCGATATAATAAAATACTGGTTCAAAATTTCTGATCATTTTTTTAATCTGATGGACCAATATTTTGCATTTTCAAATATAAATGATAAATAATATCTTAATTGAATACACATGTATCAAAACTTTTTAATCTGGCAAACTAATGTTCTTTTTTAACCCTCTTTTCTTCAGATTCCTACAGTCTGTCTTGCCTAGTTGTTTTCCTTTTCATACCCCGTGCAAAAAGGGAAGGGGGTAATATGGAGTTGTCACAACCTGTTGTGATTTCAGCGAAGCCTTCACGAAAAGTGTTTTCAGGAGGAAAAAGTAATCTTTGAGTGTTTTGGATTAGGTTTATTTCTGTTGTTTTATCTTTAATCAGAAGTTTTGTAGATTGTTGCTGTCTTCTTAGTTAGGGGTTAGGATCAGTAGTGATTTGAGCTGGGAAGGTCACATCTGTGATATTTGTAAAAAAGCAAGTAAAAGGCTACACAATCTTAAGCTTCTGAAAAGAGCGGGTATTCCAACCAATGAACTTGTAAGCTTTTACACATCAGTAAGCAGACCTACATTAGAATATGCATGTCAGGTGTGGCACCCAGATCTCACACAACAAGTTGATAAAATTGAATCCATCCAGATAGAGCACATGTAAGATTATATTCCCAGAGCTGCCCTATGATGGGGCACTTGAAACATGTAAACTTATCACTCTTGCTTGTAGAAGAGATGAACTATCTAAAACATTATTGCATAACATGTACTCTGAAGGACACAAAATCCATCATTTGCTACCAGATATAAATGAAAGTTAATTCCTACACTTTGCGACGGGTTTATAAGTACACTGTGCCAAAATTGAGGACTGTACGATCGTCAAAAACTTTTATCCCATGGGCTTTATCAAATTTTAAGAACTGAGGTTTTTATGAACTTACAAGTATATTTTAAGATTGTGCATCTCACCACTATTTGTTTTTATTGTAAAATCCAACTTTTTAAGTTGCAAATAAATACATATTATTATTATTATTATTATTATTATTATTATTATTATTATTATTATTATAGTATAATACTGTGATTATAGATATCCATGTTTTGATATTTTTTCTATCAGACTATCTCGCTGAAAAACTAGCATAACATCTGTTTAAATTAAAATTGGTTGGACTTGGTAATATGCTGGTAATTAAGTATTTGATTAGTAATTTTCAGACTTTCTATTGTTATCTAAGATTTATTTGAATGGATAAAAGAATTTATTTACCCAAATAATCTTTTCTGTTACCTTCGAATGATTGGTATTTTGATACATTAACTTATTTAAGGTAAGCGGATCGCCCACCAAATTCCAGATGAGATACTAAATGATGTTCAACTTCAGAAAGCTGTCCAGCAGGTATTGTTTGTTTCAAGCTCTTGCTTGTATATAATTACTAAGTAACATTTTGCCAAAGTATATTAATTTTCTTTTTATGATTTCGATGAGTAGTAATTTGATAAATGGTATGTAAATATAAATGTACTTTTATATTTTTTTCTTGTTATTTGCAGCTTCCAGCCAATTACAATTTCGAAATATATAAAACTGTTTGGAGGATACGTAGTGCACAAGCTAAAAGAGGTAGGATAACACGGATTTGCTATAAAGCAGAACTTGACTGTGTTTTTATCACTAACTGGGCTATTTATTATCATTTGTTGTGAAGAAATTCTCTTTTCTGATTGGTTAAGCCTGCATGATGTTGATCTTTGCCCATATTTTCAATTTAAATAATCAATCCATTGACTGGTATCAGGCCTAAAAAATTGCTTTGGTTGTTTTTATCCTTGTCAGGTATAAGCCACCTGCATGTTTCTTCCATCTGTCCAGGTCCTGAGCTATCCTCTCTAGCTCTTTCCAACTTCAGACTAGTCTCTTGGTTTTGGCCTCCAAGTCATGATGCCAGGTGTAACATGGCTTACCCCACCTCCTTTCTCCTGTTGGATGCAATATGAATCATGAATAAGTGATGAATTAGTTATTCCATATTTGTTTAAAGGATTATATACCATTTGACAACCACATCCTAAAGGCCATATGATACATATAAACCTGTATATGCAGCACTTAATAATTTGTCTGTAAGAAAAATATATTTCCTATTTGTCAGGATATGCTTGTTTCTTTAATACAGTGTGATCAACCCAACAACAAACAAAAACATCCTTAATGAGCTATACATTATTTCCATCAAGTGTTGATATATTATTGGCAGAAATTTAGAAAGAAGTGACTTATTGTATTGTAGTGGCCCTGCAGTTTCCAGAGGGACTACTATTGTTTGCTTGTCCAATTGCTGATATCATTGAAAGGTTGGTAAGATTTTTTAGGAATCATTGAGTTACTGATATTGAAATCAGCTTGTGTTATCCTTTAAAGAAGCTGATAATAGATTTAAGATGAATTCAAAAGAGTACAAAAATGTATATCAAATAAGTTTTAGTTTTGTATTTTATCTATTTTCAATAAAAATGTGGTTCTGTAATATGTGGCATGGCTTTTGATTCTTAATTGTAGTACCAGGCATAAGAGTGCATAAGATTTTTTTTCCATATAGATTTACAGATGCAGATACCTTGATTATGGGGGATGTCACATATGGTGCTTGCTGTGTGGATGATTACACTGCCAAGGCTCTTGGTGCAGACTTTCTTGTGCACTATGGACATAGCTGTTTAAGTATGTGAACACAGTAATCACCAAAAGTTTGAATACTTACTTGTAGCATCTGTGACTCAAAAACATTTGAAGTATAAACATTTATAGTTTAGAGGATTCCACCCTTCTTATCAATTTGACAAAAAAAAAAAAAAAAAAAAAAAAATATATATATATATATATATATATATATATTAAGTGATGTGAACTTGTATTGCATCGGTTGTTGGTATAACATTTTGTATAATTGTATTTTAGTGAGGAGCAAATAAGTATTAAGTAGACATTTCTTATTAAATACTTGTCATTTGAAGATTGTATTAGTTTAGTAGGTTAGTGCTTTTCTTTTGACAGTGAGTCAACAATAGTTGAATGATGATTATATATAATTGATTGCCTTTTGTTTTTCAAGTACCAATTGACACACATGAAGGCGTCAGAATGCTGTATGTTTTTGTTGACATCAAAATTGACCTGGATCATTTTATACAAACTGTAAAATACAACTTTGAGCCTGGTTCATCCCTGGCCTTGGTCAGCACAATTCAGTTTGTTGCTGCAATCCAGGTAAAATTGAAAATTATGTATATTTTAGCCTACATTGTTTAAAATGACAGAATGTCATGTATGTTTAGGTTCTGGAAATTCAAATTACAATAAACTAAAGCAAATAATCTAACTTTGTCTGATTAATAAGTTTTTACTACTTTAACGTACTTAGGCCCTTCACCCTTTTACTATTATAAAAATGTTAAAACATAAATGCTGTATTATGTTTTGATTTTATTATTGTAAGAGTAAAATGAGATATATTGAAGTTGATCTATATCAGGCATCATCTCAGCAACTAAACTCTGAATATAAAGTTACCATCCCTCAGTCCAAACCTTTGTCTCCTGGTGAAATCCTTGGCTGTACCTCCCCAAGACTTGAAGATATAGATGTTATTATGTAAGTATTTAGTATGCTTAAATCCCATACACTATCATGTAATATTGTCAAATAAGAAAAATGTGATAGCTGTGTTTGAACTATTTTAATTAAAAAATCTTAAAATCTTCTATTTTAAAATCTTAAAGACTTGATGCTTCTAAGCACATATTTAGAAGGATATATTATTAATTCGTAATGTTAAATCAGGACATCAATTTTTCTTAAGATAATTTTAAAATGTAAAATATAATTGTTTTTAGAGTTGACACGTTTCTATTTTCAGTTATCTTGGTGATGGAAGATTTCATTTAGAATCCATTATGATTTCAAATCCTGAGATCCCAGCTTATAGGTAAGACAAGGGTCATACTAAGCGTTTGTATGTGTGTGTGTGTGCATGAGTGTTTCTTGGTAATTGTGCTAAAAAAACAATAGCAATGGACCAAAGCAAAAACAATTGACCATAGCTGTTGATTTGCTTTATAACTTTTTATATTTTGAAGGTATGATCCCTACAGCAAAGTTTTCTCTAGAGAACATTATGATACAGAAAAAATGCTTCAGATGAGAAAAAGTGCAATAGATGTAGCTAGTAAAGCTAAGAAGTTTGGTATAATACTAGGGACTTTGGGGAGACAAGGATCTACACAAGTATTTGAGGTATTTAAGGTTACAAATAATTTGTTAGATTTTAATTGTTAATTTGATTGTTAATTTGTTAGAGCTTAATTGTTACTGAACTACATAAAATGTTACGGCAGTTAGCTAATTGAATATTTTCTCATAAATTTCTTATAAATTTTGGTGCAAAGGAGCACAAATGACTGTTGTTACTTTTGCCGTTTTAATTTAAAAAACTGTTTATGTTTTAGTCAACCTTTTTGGATATATATACTAATGTTGCCAATTTTAGCTTTTGGGCCATGTTTAATGGCAATCATTTTATTGACTTGCCAGGTTTTAAAATCGATTCATTATCATTTCAGAATATACAAAAAAGGATTGAGGAAGTTGGTAAAGAATATGTTCTGGTGCTGCTGTCTGAAGTTTTCCCAGATAAATTGAGGATGTTCAGTGATGTTGATGCGTAAGATGTTTATAGGGGTTTACAAAAACAACAGTAATACAATAATGTTGAACATTAATTCATGTGAATTACTTTCTTGTCATCTTGAGAGTTCAATTAGTAATTTATATAATATTATTCCCTTTTTTAAAAAATGAATTTTGACTTTTGAATAACAAGAAGTTTAGTTGAAGTAAACAAAGATTATTCATTTTCAGTTGGGTCCAGGTAGCATGTCCCAGGCTGTCAATAGATTGGGGAACAGCTTTCGACAAACCGTTGTTAACTCCATATGAGGTAAGTGGGCTCCATGTCTGCTGTTAATAAGATTATGCATCATACTTAGTGGTTTTTTTGTGCCTTTTTCTAAAATGCATAAAGCACCTTTTGGTTTAAAATCTTTGGCTTTAAGGTGCTTTAATTACTATAAACATTAAATAGTCATGTTAAAGTAAAATGGAAAGTTAACACAACTTCTATCCTGTGTAATATGTGCTTTCAATTGATGTTTAGGTCTCTGTTGCACTGGACAGTGTTGCATGGCAGCAAAGGTATCCAATGGATTATTATGCAAATTCAAGTTTAGGGCAATGGACCGTCAATCATGAAGCTAACAGGCCATCCAGAACGAGAAAAAGAATACCCAGAACTGATGAAATAAGTAATAAAAGGGTTGAATCTCAAAAACAGACAAATTTAAATGAAACGCCAAGCTCTGCAGATAAAGAAAAGCGGTCTAGATCACCAGGTTGTGAAGGAACGTGCGACAAGTGCAAAGATAAACAGAAAGAACCTGAAATTTATTAGAGAATGATTAAATGGTCTATGTAAAAAGATTGTAACTCACAGCTTCTATTATTCAGAAAGTGTTTAAAAGGCCAGTGCCTCTTCATGCTTTTGAGGGGAGACACCAAGAAAACACAAAACTTGATGCCTTCATTCCAATGTGAAAACTGAAAAGCTCATCAACTTATAAAAAAAGCAAACTGTGCACCAACTTAGAAAGTTTATATCACATCTTTTGCTACCTTTTTTTGCAGGGATCAGGATGCAGTTGTACTTGCTTGATAATGTAAAGTAAACATATTGTTTCAGTTTTCTAAAATGTTTTATTACTCCTAGTTTTACACTGCAAACACACAGTGAGATAAAGACTGTTAAGAGGAAAACAACATTTCAACAAAAGTATGAAAGTCGATATTTGCATACTATGGCTTTTTGTGACCGTCACATCAAAGAGTTGTTACTTTGAAGTACAAAACATTGACAATGAAATTGGTCACGTTAATTGCTGCCTTTGATAAAAACAAATTATATCACCAGGAGCTTCACTAAAACATAGCAACTTCTCAGTCTCTCTTAGCAATTCTCTCTGATCTCCTAGAAGGTGAATGGTGCCGTGGCACGTGTGTGAAGTGACCATGCATCCCATAATTCTCCTCCTTCACCATGAAAACCAGTAGCAATACAGGAATGATACCAAAGGGGAGAATGGTTGTGATCAGCCGTTGTCTTTCTTCAGAAGTAGTTGGTCCAGGGTATTTTTGCTTGCTGAAGTCGTGCATGAAGAGATGGTACATATAGGCTACCATCATGGTCAACACATGAGTGGCATAGATGATTGATGGAATGCGGATCCAGCGCTGCTTACCTGAGATAAAAATGAACTGACATAATGTGAATAAATTTATCAATATCACAATGAAAACCAATTATAATTAAAAATCTATATGTACCAGATCTTTTGACTTATAAAACAACACTCACTAAGAATAAATAATAAATAATAATTTTAATTTCGCAAAATAATGTGGCTAATAAAGTTGATGTCCTAAAGATGAGGGTTAATGAAATACGTATATGGTAAATATGATAAAAAACTCAAAAAATACAAAAAAAAAAAAAAAAATAGTAATAATAAAAATTTATAACATATTTCCAACCTTTGTAAAATGCATATGCTGCCACAAAGCTAAAAGGTACCAGGAAGAGCTGCTCACACCATGCAAAGGCCTGCAGCCACTCTGGAGGATTTAAAGGTAATGGATCTTTGTAGTGCTCTGTATACCATACCAGAACCTTTGGCACCTGAAAAGATGAATGAAATAAAATACTTAATGCTCAAACTCTAATCTTTGATTAATGATTTTTAAAATAAATTATTTCTAATAATTTTAGGACCTTTTTGACTTTCATGTAAGACCTCATTGACAAACCTGAGATACCCAGATTGCTTTTGTTGCGGAAGTTCATTATTTCATGACACCTAACGCATTACAAGTAGATCTGCAGTAAGTGCGTGAATACCTTCATAAGAAATTTTAAAATTTTGTCAAGCCAACCAAAAACAAATTAGTCTGGCCAATGTCGATTACGGAATATGCTAAATCAGGGGAAAGTTTACAACATTAATAACTCAAGTGACATCAATCTGTCATAAAATGACTTTCCATGGAGTCGTCCGTACCAGTCAGTCAACTACAGTTCACGGTCACAGAGGTAGCCTGCCGCATTCACAGCAAACTGGCAGAAAAAAGAGCCATAACACGTGAGACGGTCTGCGACAAATGTGCCACGCCCTCTCACATAGTTCATTTTTTCAATGTGTTCGCAGTTGATAAAGTGTCATTTCTAAAAATTGATTATATAAAAGTAAACGGTTAACCATACGCCTGCTGTTGAGAGCATATTATGCGATACGTGGCTTTCAGTCTGAATAAACACAATCGAACAGGACAGGCTAACCAACATCGAAGTGCAACTTACAAATTCTGGATACAGCCATTTCGGATATACCATGAAAGAATCGAAGACTAGTCCCCAGACGGCAGAGAAACCGAAGAAGACACAAAATATCCACTCAAATATGCGTATCATCTCTGACTTCACTGGTAACCTTCCTCGTTACCATAGGTCACAGTTGCGAGTTCATTCCAGGTCAACTCGCGTACCGTACAGTCTGACATGTCGACACCTGGCGACCAAATTTTTTTTTTTAGCGCGATGCATGGTGTTATTATTCGAAATGGTTATTGTTGTAAAGTAGGGACAAATAGCATATAATGCAGTTATTGCGTCTTGATGACAACCACAACAGACTGCAATGGGGACAGGGGGTGGGGTGAATTCCTTTATATTACAGAAATAGTAAAAGAAGATGCAATTTGCAGAATTTATTTCTAATGATTATTATTCAGTGTACACTGCCATTAATTAAAAAAATCAATATCAAATCAACAAACGAGTGAAAAATAAATAAATCTGTATGACACTATAAAAATATTTTAATTGAAGCCTGCCCATGTGGCAAAACATTGCATGAAAGGTAAAGTTTCTATAAATGCAAAAAATATTTAATATACATTCATTATACTACAATATTTAAATTTTTGATTTCCTAGCCCAAGTGTTCATAGTTTTAGGATATTTTAATTTTTTTAAATCCCATGCATGACCACATTACTATTTCACAATAAATTTTTATTTAAAAAGTCAGTGATGTATATTATTCTCAATATAAAATACACGATTAATCTATTGGGCATGTGCATAGTCAACCAAGCATGATCGCTAATTACAGACATGCTGAAAACGCTTTGTGTTTTATATAATTTTTTTAGTGAAGTATTTCAAATGATGACTGTAAATTCTTAAAACTCTTGTCGGTCCTGTGGACAGACCAAGTCCAATTTTCTACCGGTCCAGACAAATTTTCCCGGTCATGACCGATCGGACCGGCAGTTTCAGCATGTCTGTAATTAACAGAACATAATATATGTACTTTCTTAAAAAAGATCACACAATTTACTGTCAACTTCTTTATAATGTCACTCACAAAATTCAAACAGTCCTACGCACATTTAGCAAATCTAATTAATTTATTATCATAAAATGTACATTGCCTCTAACAAAGGTGACCCAATTTAGGTGTTCTGTTTGTTCTTTGGATGCTAGAACATAAATGTACACAAAAGGCCTTGGAATTTGCAGCATCAGGATTTAACAAATGTAGATTCACTAAAAACTTGCATGGACTCAGTAAACTGACATCAGCAATGAACAAGTACAACATATCTAGGAATGTTAAGAAGTGCAAAGAAACTCCAGGAGCTATGGATGCTCACCTGGTATGATGTACAGTTGACTTGAATGAAGAAAGGAAGATTGTACTTGAATGATGTTTCTACTATTAAAACAGCAGAATGCATATCATCAATAGCTGTTTGGCTGGCAAATAACATACGTGCAACTTTAATTACTAGTAGTTAAAACTAGAAAGAGGACAAAATTTAATAAATGTAAAATTAGATACTCTACTCGTACTCGTACAGTACTCATATACAGCAGCAATCTGAGTTTATTATATAAATTTTTTCTGAACTTCACCTCAATATTCAATAAGTGATACACATAAAAACACACCCTTATTAATAAAATCCAATAATTCTAAAATATGAAATTGTGTCACCAAATAGAACTGCTCATTATTATGATACTTATGAATAACTTGGACATGAAAACAAATATAAAAATGTCTTGCTCATCATCCTTCTACATTCATGTAGACATCTTTACCAATAATTTGGCTTGCAAATCATTTTTTTTTTGCATACCTAAACAATCAACACAAGTAAATTTACAATTACAACTGTGCTATATTAACTATCAGCATGCAATTCTAAATGTTCTCTTTCACTAACATCAACTAGAGGACTATTTTTTCTTAAGTCTAAGTGATCTCCTTGGTTCTGGTTGAAGAGGACCTTTAATACTTGCATGTGATCCATAACCCTCATCTGCCACCATGACAATAAGAAGCAAGAGTGGTATGACAAAGAATGGCAGATAGATACTAATCAAAGTCAATCTTTCCATCATAGTGCTGGGTCCTGGATACTTTGACTGGCTGAAATCATGCATTGCAATGTGGTACAAGATGGCAACCAATGTAGTTACAACATGTGCAGAATAAATGATGGCTGGCATCCTTACCCATCCACAATTTCCTGTAAAAAATTTAAAAACATACCAGCAATAAAGTAACTCATAACTACTGGCACAGCAATATCCACTAGTTCCTTATAATTACAAAAGGAATAAGTGTCCTAACAATATGTAAGCAGTATGACAACAAGTCAAAAATGTGAAAAACATTCCACTTAGAAAATCACAATTTGCACAAAAGTACAAAATACTACAAAGAAAGAAACAAGGCAGCAAAGCTGTCAAATGTACAGACAAAAAACAGAAAATAACAATGCACAAAATAGGCTACTGTCAATTCTAATGCAAAAGTACATTATGCTAAACTGCAAATTCAACATCAAATTTTAATTATGCTCAACAGGTTATACCAATGTTAGTAAAATGTGTAACAAGCATAAGGCTTCAGGCCCGTGGGGGTTCAAGTTCACACTTTGAAAATGCCAGAATGAGAAAAATGAAAATTTCACACACAATTGCATAAATTCAATAATAAATGATAACCCAACTGAGCTGGTTTTCCAATTTGAACTGCATGCTAATCCTAAAAATCATACTTGTAAGTTAAAAATAATATTACTGTGCTAAATTCCTGGAATGAAACCAGTGTCCCCTGTAAGTTACTAGCAAGTGAGTAATACAGCTAGATTTCCAATGGCAATCACACATCTCACTTAATCATACACCACTTGATAAATTCAATACATAAGCAAAAAGTAAAGTATATGTACCTTTATAAAATGCATAGGCTGCTGCAAAAAAGAAAGGCAACTGCAGGAACTGTTCACACATACAAAATGCCTGGTACCATGCAGGAGGCTCGAGCATCATGGGGTCTTTCATGGTCTTCCCATACCAAGACACAGCATCTTTCACCTAAGTTAAATTCATAGATACAAAGTTAAATCAATCAGCTGGATAGTGTGAATTTTGTGACAGAGTTGAGGGTACAAATGCCTCTGTCTGCAATGTCCACCTATTGCAGAGTGTAAGACCTTTGTCAACCTTAGCATATGCTTATATGTATTTATCTGCAGATCCAGCAATTCAAGAAATATCTATGGCGGTACTTCTTTTAATATTTTTAATACTAACTTCAGTGCTAGACTACAAAAAAAAAAAAAAAAAAAAAAAAAATCAGTCTTTAGTTCAATGTGAGTTAACGGGGGCGTCTCGATAGTCCGAAGGTTCATTGGTCCGAAGGTTCATTGGTCCGAAAAATGGTAACATTTTCATCGATTTTTTTAATCAAGGGTTCATTGGTCCGAAGGTTCTATAGTGAACATTCGGACCAATGAACCTTCGGACTATCGCTACGGCCCCGAGTTAACATGGGCCTTACTTATAGTAACTTATAGTAACTGGCTCGCGCTGCCAGTAATTACGCCACGGGACATTCAGGGCACAGACCGTGATCACAAGATATACCGCGAATAGAAAATAGATTTTTAGAAAATAGACTTTCCATGTGAACGAAGCCTTAGACTGTCCCTTTATTTTAAATTTTTGTCAGAAATTTAACCTATTTATGTGAACTACTTTTCTGCCCCATTCATGTACAGCATAGAAAGCTAGCAGAAAAACTGTTCAACTTTCATTTTTGGGTAATATTAAGCAATGTCTTTTTGTAATACTCTTATAGTTATACTATTTGAAACTATATACTGGCATTTGGTTGGTTATTATGGCAAAAATTGACTTCATATGCATCTTTTAAAGTTAATTTTGGTGTGTTAAAGCATTTTTAACGGGTCTTGTGTTTTTTAAATCTATTATCAGTTTTAAATAATGAACATTACAGTTTTGAGTTGACAGTTGAGTGAAATGTCAACTATTGAAAGTTTGACGTAAATATTCTGTTTATTTAGTGAGTTACTTCTAGTATTCGTAAATCACCAAGTAAAAAAGGGGAGGAGGCATCCTGCCATTAAAACAGGAGGATATTATAAAAACCACTTTCCATGCCACACAAAGCAAAGAGCTGTCTGTTGTCAACATTGTTACTATTTCAATGTACGTCCTGCTAAGTAAGGCATGATAGTTTGTTACTCAAGTGTCACGCCACGGAACGGTCAAAGTGCGGAAAAGCCTCGATCATAAAAATATGTATACAGAAATTCTGCAAGCTGTAGTTAACTTACAAATGTTGGGTACATCCATCCAGGATATACAGCTTGTGAATCAAACAATATTCCAATTGGGATGTGGACAACAAAATAAAGGAAAAATATCCACTCCAAAACACGCGGCATTTTGGTAGCAACTCTCTAAAAAAAGGAGTATATTACAGTCAAGACGAGCCAGTGTTATTTTCCAAGAGGCGAATCACTTTTGCCCTCAAAATCATAGATCTAACGTCTTTTTCATCTGTACAATATTAATTGAGTGTTATAGAATGTAATTCGTCAACGGGTTTTGATTTAAAAAGTTAAGGTATTTCTTTCACCATTTAATTATCTGTGATTGAAACTGTCCCAAAGCAATAATTTTGTCATTATAACTTTCAAAGCACTTTGCAAAGCTGTGTCTTTCCAAATCAAGACCTTAAAATGATAAAACTGCAAATGAAAGTAGATATTGTTGATTTTTCACTGTGACGGTTAATGTTTCAACCTAAATTATCTTTCAAATTTAGTAGAAAGCTTAAAATCCAAGTGTAGGGATGATTGGTAGAAAATACCCTTTTTATTTTTATTTATTTATTTATTTATTTATTTATTTATTTTTTGAAGAAGAAGAATGTGGTTTGTCTGGAAAATCATGGATAGGATAATGTTATTATTTTAAAAATTAATTAATTTTTATTAATTGCTAAATCAAGATATAAGTACAATGTTAAGCTGTCAAAGAGTTCGCTTTTCTTTGCTTTTCACCCAAAATTGTAATGAGCTGTATGTCAATTCTAAGAATCTTTCTTATAAGTTAAAAAAAATAACACAATTTTCTTTTCATAATGTTTGTGGTGGCAGCTAGTGCACAAAGTAGGTTTTTGTCAATTTTGATGCAATATAATGTAATGATTAATGGTATAATTACCACGGATTTTTAATTATCTACTACAATGAATATGGACCTTTAAAAAATTTGATGACCATTCAAGACTGTGGGAGTTTTAAGTAAATGCCAATATGTGAAAAAAGAAAATTTCACAAAAATGTATAACTTCCAGAAAAAAAGTCAATTAGACTGGTTTTTCATTTGAAGCTGTATTTTAGTCCTTTGTTTCTTTCCTGTAAGTTTGAGAAAAGTGACATGCTCTTCCCTTAATGGTCACTCTGGCAGCAGAATAGGCCAAAATAGGGTTTTCTTCAATTTTGATGCAATATTATGTAATGCTTAACAGCAAAATCACCACCAATCTTTTTTACACTGCAGGTAGCATAGCTATTTAGAAAATGTGACTAGCAAAGGCCTTCAGGCCCATGGAACTTCAAAGACCCCATTCCCAGAGATTAGATTGATCCAAACTAGATCGACCTAACTCCCTGGGGGTTCACGCTAATAGCTGTTAGCCGAGGGGGCACGAAAGTTAATTACCCCCTTACAGCTTGTAGTAGGCCGGATGGACATTTAAGCCGGATTATCTGACAGTAATCTAGTGAGACTCCCCACGGGGATAGATCGATCTAAATGTCTGGGAATACGCCCAAAGTCACACCTTGAAAATGCCAAAATGTACACAAAAGATAACTGTACTGGAATGAGCTTATTTCCATTTTTAAGCATTTTTTAAAACAAAAAATGCAATTATTAACTTACTGTCATTTTTATATGATCAACTAACGGATATTGTTGAGAAGAGAAAAAATATCACTACACATTTTTAAATGCCAATTTGCTCCATTCTGAGATTCTGAACATAGTGAATGATTGAATCTGACAAACTGATATGATATGAGTTTATTTTAATTTTTGACACTTTATTACACAATACACAATAACAGGTTTACCATCACTTTTATATAATCAACTAAAAATATTGTTAAGATGCAAAAAATGTCAACAGTATGATAAGGTTTATTTGGGTTCAAAGCTGAGGGACTGTGAAAGTATTCTATTCACACTTATTTGAATGAAGTCGAAAAAAAAAAAAAAAGATGTGTTGGCATTCATTAGTGTGTGTGAAAGTTATCTTCCAGAGTTTCTCAATGGAAAGTAAAAGAGATACACGTGAAAAAATGTTATTTTGACTAGCAATTTGTAATAAATATCTGATTGAAATTGAATAAAGCAACCTTTTTGATTTTGGAACTGAGACGGCAGTTCTGTTGTTACTGACACCGACATCTCTCGCTGATAACTTTTAATTGTAACTGTTAAAAGGAAAGATCCCGGAAAAAATGAAAAAATTTACACCAAGAGAAACAAGAAGTTTTACGGCTGCAAACAGAAAAACTGAAAGAGACAGCTTAAAAGACAAACTAAGATCAATCAGTGGGGATGTTGGTGCGTCAGTAGAAGAAACTGTTAATATAAGTCCACAGCTGCCATGGGCAACAGCAACTTCAATGACAGAAACTTTGCCTTAGCCAACCTACACAAGTATGCTGCAGTCGACCAAACATTCCTTACTGCAAGCCAGCAGTCAAGAGCCCACAGTTCCCATGAGTGATCAGGCTACCGCCATGAATCCAAACGGACAACAAATGCCTATGAATCCTAACACTAAGCAATCACCAGGCCCTTCCTGTAGTCAGGACACCACCACATTGTCCAGTGAGCTTCAAACTCCAGTGAGTGCAAGAAATCCAGAACTAACAAAGACACAAGGTCCCCAAGTTCCAGATTTTTTTACAAGAACTCCACTACCTACATCTAGAGCAACAGACAGGAATCACGTTTCTTTTCCAGTGACTTCTATAAGCCAACAAACAAGCCAACAAACTAGTGGAGAGCAAGTAAACACTTCTGTTATTATTACTGTACCACAAAATATAAGTCCACTTCCTTTCCTAGGAGAAGATAATGAAAATGGAAAAGACTGGCTGGATAATGACATTCAATATTGTAACTTATTGCAATATTCAAATGAACAAAAAGTAGCTCTTTTTCAATTTTTCATGTCTGGTAAGGCCAGGCAATGGTTTCTATCTTTAGAGGCCAATGTAAAAAATAGTTTTGATTCTATAGTAACACAATTCAAACAGAGATATGGTGAAAATAGTCTATCTACCAGAGCCAAAATGGTTCATTTATTTTCTTTAAAGCAAGGTAGTGAAAATGTACAAGACTATATAGCAACAAGGCAGCAAAGCTGTCAAATGTACAGACAAAAAACAGAAAATAAAGATGCAAAAAAAAAGGTCATTTTGTCAATTTTGATGCAATAATAAATAATGCTTATAATACCACTGTCAGTCAACACTGAATTTTAATCATGCACAACAGGTAACATAGTCAATAACAGGAGCAGATCCAGAGATATTTTCTGACAGTATTCCAAAGTATCTATGTTGATCCATCCTCCATTTTGATGGTCTTCCAACAGAAAAAAAATAGATAGCAGTCAATTTAAACTTAATAACCTGTCTTCCGGAAGACCCAGAAGATGGTCTCAATCCACCCCTTCAATAAGATTACAGTTTCAGGACCATGAGAGACCAAAGTCACATGATGAAAGTCTCAATATTTGAAAAATGATGACAGTGAATAAAATAATATTATATAATGTTTAAAGACATAAAAAACAATACAATTGCTTATGTGGAAATACAGAAAATGTGCAGAGCCTAGAGCGGATGAGAGATAAAAGTCACAAATGCAAGTGTTTGAGAAAAAATTGTAAAGGAAAACATAACAAAACTAGAAAACCATGGAGAGTGCAGACCTCTGCCAAGGCAGCAATTGTTGATTATTATTGATTATTGATTGATTAT